CGGGCTGCGGTCCGTGAGCCGACAGGTGCAGCCCAGAGCGACCCAATGGCCTCAGCCCACAGCGACACAACGGTCACCGAAGAACAGAGCGCCAGCACGGCAGCGGCGCTTCTGCCATCTACATTTGAGCCAAGTGTTCATCACTTGATATCTTTCTTTGCCTTTTAAGGCAAGGAGGTATTGATAAATGGTATACAGAGATGCAATAAGGAATGCTAGATATATTTTTGGGAACTGTAAACATAAAATATTACTCAATATTGAGTTAATGAAAGGCTTGGGCCGATCGAAGTTTAATATAGGCGATTGCTTATAGGGCTATATGGCGATTGCTTTTCAGCGATATTTTCTAAAGGAACTACAAATCCCAAATTTCAAGAACTGAATAAAAGCAGACAAAGATTATCATCGTAAAAGCACTACGAAAATATCGAACTTTCATGTTTAAAAATGTAGGCATCCGTTGAGTCGGTGGCCGTTGTTAAGCTGCCGTCCTGGTCCGCTCGAGGCCGTCAGACATGCACTGTAGCGCCACCGAGGCAGCCAAGGTTAGGTTAGCTTCTATCGGCGGCCAGTCACAGCCATCGTGCACCAGGCCATCGTCCTGTGACAGTTAGTGCAGGTGAAACTGTACACACTCCAACGTGCGGGCGGACTGCCGGCGCACTACGCACAAACCAAACCTACAGCACATCAACCAGTCCATTAGGCGCATGCAAACTTAAAAAAGGTAAGTTGCGATCGTCTATGCAAAACAACATACCCATTCAGTTGGCGTTAAGCGTTCGTGCCGGTCAGCTATGTAAACTGGGCGCTGTGCAGGCTCCGTCCATGACCTCAGTGGCTCTCCCATGACCTAGCACCGATGCCTGTCCTCTCCCCATCGGCCGACCTTGCCTCCTTCCCCTGACCAGCTAGTACACCCAGTGACCGTCCTCTAGCTCTCTGAGCTGGCCTGGCCGGGGTCGGGGTACAGCCGGGGCCGGGACAGGGCCTTACCTCCCGGCCTGGCCGGCGCGGCCGTGGTCAGCGGACAGCCGAGCTCGTCCGAGCCGTCGGGACAGTCGGTGCGCCCGTCGCAGCGCGTCTCCTGCGGCAGGCACTCGCCGCTGCGGCAGGCCAGCTCGAACTCGGTGCAGGCGCGCGGCGGGGCCACCGACGGCGCCGTCGGCGTGGCTGCGTGCAGAGCGACGCGACCCGTCGGCTCCAACATAGTCGCCATATAGGGGACGCCACCATGCACAGGCGACCTCCGCACGGAGCCAACGCCACACAGCAAAACTACCAGGGTAACTGCTACTGCTACTACTATGACTAGCCTCAACAAAACAGCGCTAGTGAACACTAGTTTGCTGGAAACATTAAAGAAATGCAAATAAGACAGCCAGAAAACACAAGAGCAAGCAGAGGCGGATCCAGCTCAGAGTTTTTTTTTGGGGGGGGGGGGGGGGCAAACCATAACAATTTATCGATTCTTTCCATGCATCGTCCATAGGCGTAATGTTAAAATTATGCCGTTTGGGGGGGGGGGCAAATGCCCATTTTGCCCCCCCCCCCTGGATCCGCCACTGAGAGCAAGCATCACGTCTCACACGCAAGGAGGGAGCTAAGAATCAAATCAACTAAAAGTTACAGCGGATTTAATTCAATAAAAGAACAGACGAAATCTCGGTTTATCTTTTTGTTGCTGGTGGCGTGCATTCTATGTAGTGCAACCACTAATAACATGCACCTGCCAGCCGAAAAGAATGCTTTCAATTTTCCTTCAAACTTCAATGAAATAATACCATCAGTGTTTCTACACAACTACCACGAGAACCAGCGCAGCTACGTCAAAAAGTTTCCAAAATCTAAAAGGCACATAAAAGCACAGCCGAAAAAGAAGTGCGCGAACTACCGGACCGCGAAGTCACCGACTGCTTACTTCCGAATCGGCGCAGCTGGAAGTCGATGAATGCCTTTCCGCCGAGCTCGCGCCGGTTTCGCGCCAGCTGGAGCAGCCGCTGGAACTCTGTCTGGTCGTCGAACGCCTGCGAGGTCAAGTCGACCGTGTAGTCGCACGAAGAGGCCACGTAGCCCGGACTGCCGCCAAATAAGTCTGTCAGTTAGTCATGGCCGGGGGACCAATGCTCCTGCGGCGCTGCTGCCCGCGCTGGACGCTCCACTGGTGCATCCGACGGTCAGTGGGAGTCAATTCAACAGGCATTAATTTATTAATTATTAATTCGGCACTGGAACAACCTATTGACATCATCGGGGGACCAGTGGGAGTCACATCGCGTCTTATCAGCTCGGAATATCGGACGTTAACAGGGGAAAATGGTGGACAGTTTCGATTCCAGCTCCAGCCATCCTGCACCTGACACATCATTGAGAGTTGATGTGCATATGATAGGAGGGTGTGGAACCAGAAAGGACACGCATGCCTAAAACCAGGCCAAACGCCTCGATAGATAGCTGTATAGTGTATATGTACTGCGGAGAGTCGTCTGTGTGCTACTGTTGACCCACCTGGCCTGTATGACGGTGGCCAGCTGACGCCCGGTGGTGTCCACATAAAGCTGTTCCACGGCCTCTCGCAGCCAGTCGGCCTGTTCCACCGATAGACACTCCTCTCCTACCGTCAGCGTCAGCCGGTAGTACACTGCCGGAGGGAGTGACAGGGGACACGGTCAGTGTACCGTCAGCATGGCAGGCGGTAGTACAATGGCGGAGAGAGAGAGAGAGAGAGAGAGAGAGAGAGAGAGAGAGAGAGAGAGAGAGAGAGAGAGAGAGAGAGAGAGAGAGAGAGAGAGAGAGAGAGAGAGAGAGTTGACATGGTTAAATCACTGCTCGCATTAGACGGTACCTAGGTAATAAACTTACGCATGAGAGACATAAGCTCTGATATGGGGAAAGCTTGAAAAGATGTTTGAAAAAATATGCGCTGTCAGTGCATAACAAAAGCAAAGAAAGTGAGTAGGAACTAGGGAACTAGAAAACTATCAACTAAAGCGCGTCCGGCGTCCTCAGTAGGTAAACGAACAGATCAGTTTAATGCACGAATCAAATATTTGAGCTCTATTTTCAGTCTAATCCGTTCTTCAGCATCATTGTGTTTCGCGTAAGTTTCCACGGAAAATTGCTGAATTTATAGCAAAAGTTAAAGAGGATCTAACTATGTCAGGGGGTCGGACGGGATTAGCAAAGACCGTTCGAGAATAAACAAGTCATTTGTATTCGAGCTGTCCCAGTTAGAGCTAAGCCGACAGCGAGATGGCTACAAAACTTGGCCGTCCTCCCCCCCCCCCCTTCCCTGGCTCCTCGGTGCTCCGCAGTTGAAGTCTACCGATTACGGAACGGACGCTGGCGGAGACAGCAAATCGAATAGGTCGGCCGTCCACGGCTGCCGGCGGCTTCAAGTTGAATCCCGAATGTACTTACGTGTGCAAGATCGAATATCGTTATATGCGTAAATGCCCACATGTTCTCCATCGCATGCTACGCAGATGACAGACACCTAACCTGGGAGTTAACAGACGCGCCACACTCGCGCCTCCCGTATCATCTGTCGTGCGGTGCAGTCTGCTTTCAGGCGCTGACTACTAGCGCCATCTAGGAGCAAGGCTGTAAGTAGGGATAACGTATCGAGCCGGCCGCTTTCACAAAGCACGGTGATAGGAGAAAAATCCTGAAACAGGGGTAGACAAATGTGCCGGGTTGGGGTAGCACGGGCGCAGCAAATCCGCCGCCGCCCTAGCGGTGACCTTGACCTCCGCCGTCTGTTGCGGCTCCAAAGCCAAGCCAGCGTGGAATTGGGAAAGCCCGTGCTACCCCAACTCGGCCCACAATTATCCACCCTTGTCCTGAAATTGTGCTGGCTAGTTGCTCAAGCTTTACGGTGATATAATGAACGTTTTGTATGCGAACCTGAAGAGTCTACGATTCAAAAAAGTTTCATATACCTACAGGGTGGGGCAGCATAATCGGGAATGCTTTTTGGGCTCTGATCATGAGTAGGCATGGCATTATTTTTATAAATTATATTATGGCAATGAAACGCCCAAAAGTTGTGCATCATCTGACATGACTACATCCATGAGCATGCAACTTCCTGGAAAAGAGCAGCAAAATAGTTCGACGGTGCTCCAAGTGCTTTGCGCGCGCCCATAGACACTAATGTTAAACAAGTAAAACAAGAACATTTTGTTTAAAACCCTGCAATTCCACGTAAAGGTTGCTGGGCAGGTCAACGTGTTATCACGGACGATAAGGATTGTGTGGGGATACTTAGGACAACAGGTTAACGTAATCGTCGTAAAATAACTCTTAGCAGAGGACATACAAGATGACTCACTTGAATATAAGGAAGAAGCACTTGAGCATATTAAAAAGAAACAATGTTCAAAACTTTAGCGACAAAAAATCTTATCACCGACTGGAATACGATAAAAAAGAATGGCATGCCATATAGGGGATTGTATCGAGAATGTTCCAGCGGTCATGCAAAGTAAACATCCTGTTGGGGTGATGGACCTATGGGTGGTCTTCAAGGGAGGTGCACGTGGTGCACCCTACTTCATCGAGCCCGGATAAAATGAGCACCTCTGGTAAATACAACCGCACTCTGGCAGACTCACGTGGAGCCGTCGGAAGAGAGGATCACTGACGGTCCAAATCACGTCTTACGAGGACTCTGTCCGTGCTGGTACTGCAGTGAGGACGACATGTTATTGTGTAGGGCACCTCCACCTGAGATGAACCAAAAACTTCTGGTCCTTCAACTCCGCCGATTTAAATCCGACCAAATTCTTTACATGGAGCGTTTTTTGGTAGAAGTTTAATGAACAACTTATCATCAGTAAAAACAGTCTTCAGTGCAAGGTACGAAGCTGATGGGCGATCATGGACAAGCAGGAGGTTGCACGTGCATGCGCGTGCTTTTGGACCCGCCTTGAGAAGGTCATCGACGCCGAGGGCGGTCAAATAGGATGAGGGATAGGTAAAAGGTGACCGATTGATAGGATGTTGCTAAAATAGTGCTTGGAGCTATATTTTTAGATTCATGACCAAATAATCCCGTTTGATATTTATTCCCGATTATGCTGCCCCACCCTGTAGGTACTTAGGTAGGTATGCGGTTTTGAAGACTATGCTGTCTGTGATTATTCTCGCTTTTGGTGGGTCAAGATCATTTGAATTTTTGTTTGTCATAGGTATTAGCCGCACATTATTCGCTTTTACATTCTGTTCGGAATCAAACAATCTAGCGTTTGCTTGTCTTGGTCTGGTGTCCGTAGGACTACATTATTATGTAAACATTTCCCTTGGCAATAGTATAAGTCTGGGACATGCAAGTTGATTAATGTGTAATTCACTGTAGGCAAATATAAATCGACCCCCGACCAAATTTAGTTGGCAGGTTATGGAAAATCCCTGTTAGCAGTACCTACCTACTAGCGCTCTGCCACCTGACTTCCCTATTCACCCACAGACTCTGTATGATAAAGGCAGACTCTTGGGAAGCGTCATGTCGGACACCATCCGACCGATCTCCCTCGATTCGGTTTCAGCCCCCCCCCCCCCTCCCCAAAAACAAATATATTTTTCATGTTTGGCGAACCGATATATTTGTCACGTTCGCCTATTCGATTGGCTTTCAGGGCACAGTGTTCTTCGGCACCTATTGCGTTCGGGATCGTTTTGCCGGCTCAGCCGGATCTCAGTCAAGCCGCTGGGGCAAAACTTACCCAGTCCGGTGGGCACGGGTGCCACTTATCCAGTTCGCTCTGTTTTACTGTACCCAGCCCGGTGGGCGCCGGGTGACACTTACCCAGCCCGGTGGGCGCAGTGGACACGGGAGGCTTACCCAGCCCGGTGGGCGCAGTGGACACGGGAGGCTCACCCAGCCCGGTGGGCACCGTGACTGTGGGCAGGGGCGGCACTAACCCAGTCCGGAGGGCGCCGTGGGCACGGGCGGCTGCGTGGGCCGCACACCGACGCGCGGAGTGACACCGGGCCCGGAGCCCTCCACCAGGTCCTCGTCGTCCGTCGGCATGGTGGGGTCCGGCTGCTCGGGCAGGCCGTCCCCGGAGCCCGGACCCACGCCCTCGCCGCCGTTATAGTCATTGTAGTCGCCGTAGTCGCCGTTGTAGTCGCCGTTGTAGTCGCCATTATAGTCGTCTGGGTATTCGTAATCGTCTTCGTCGTCCGGGCCGGCGAGATCCCAGAACTGGCGTTTGTGTCGGGTCCGCACTGGACTGAAGGAGAGGGGCGCCGCCTCATCGAACGTCAGGTCACTGTCGGCGCGCTGCAAAACAAAAACACGGGGGTCAGTGTCGGCCCGCTGCAACACAAACACACAAACACTCAGCTTAGGTTAATAAGTGGCGGTAATGTGAATTGACAAACAGGTTCAATACCGATGGCAAAACAATCAAATGGTCTGACATTTTCACTTTAGCACAGAATCCTGACTTTGCTTTTACTGAACAGGCGCGCACACGACACCTATTTCTCGCCCTCCGTGAGTCACACTCGGTGGCCGCGCGGCAGGCGGGCGGCCATCGAAGCTGGATTGGTCGTATAGAAAGGTCACCTTCGCGCCCAAGTGCCACACGTCTCCTAGCTGCGACAGCAGAGCACAAGAACCAGCAGCACAAAGTGCACCAGCATGGTGATGGTGGGGCGATGGAGCGCGCGTTGGATTGGGCGGTTGGGTGGTGTGGCGGTAGCGCCCTACCCATGTCGTATATCAGTGTGCAGGTGTGTGAAAAAACCGGTGCCTGATGGATGTGCGAGGAATAAGGGGACTCTCCCTGATACACGGAGTTCAGCTATCCGCTATCCGCCTGAGAGCTGCACGATCCATTGACACTAAAAAACTCGTCCTTTACATACACTCTGATGTTCTAGAATCCACCATACTCTCAAGTGGCTCTCAGTTATCAACACTCTTGGTGCCTCCATTGACACTCTGCAGGAGCTCCCATCTACACTCAGAGAGTTCCTACGGGCGCTCCGAGAGCTCCTACCGACACGGTGAGTACTAAGGTGGGGAGCAGACACCGCCGTCCTGGCGGGAGTGCCTTGGCGAATCCCGGTGACAATGCTGATGGAAGCCGACGATACGACGCGAGAGGTCCGGACAGCCAGTTGGTTGGCGCGAGATAACACGTCTCTGCCGCCTCCCCGGGCTCGGCCGGCAGAATGGAGCGAGCAGCGGGGATACGACGGGGACGAGACACAGAGAGTGCTCGGAGACAGCGCGGTGGGGACGGCCAGCCGAGACTGTGGCGGACGGCACACGGTTGACCGCAGCCAGTCCGGCAAAAGGCCGGCAACACGTCACGGGTCAGCGCTCGGCGACGGCAGAGGTCAGCGATGTCAGGGGTCAAGGTCGTCCGGGGTGAAGTCGAACAACAGAGTTGCCAGAGGACATTAACTGCAACCACTCGGACGTCTGAACGAAATACTTGTTCGTACGATATTCCGCACAGGTGTATGTGCTTAATCCATTTGTCGTTCAATACATTAAACGGTCAAAAACACAGAATCCGGGAGCGGACATGATTTCTGATAAGCATTTCGGTGGTAGATAAGATAACAGTAGCGGCGGAACACTTTCAATTAAGGCGGGGCACTGCCGACTTTTGGTCCCATTCTTTCCATGCAACGCCCATAGGGCTAATGTTAAAATGCCAAAATCAAAGGGGGCACGGTGCCCCGGTGCCCTCCCCGTTCCGCCGCCTATGAGATAAGCGTTGAGTTTGCCGTTAAACATTACCTAATTATGAAATCAAAGTGCCATCAATTAGCCCAGCCAAAATATTTGTATGAGTAGCTCGAAGCAACGAGTAAAATCGATAGTGATGGGCTAATTGACGGAGCAGCGCGCTGTGGTAGGTGCTTTGACACTCGGCCGGCCATCACAACATACGGAGCTGACCGAGTGATGGCGGAACCTAGCGTGTCGCCGTGCACTCGTGCTACTGCCTGTGATGACAGCGGTACCATTCAGCGTGTAGAAACTGTCCGATATACTGCGCTTGCCGGAACGCGCTCGTCACTTAGCTGCACGCGATGAGCAGGGGTGCGTACTGATAATTGTGATTTGACTGCGACGTAACGGCAAAAAGAGAAATGTTATCCAAAATAAATTGCAACCATGGTCACAGTGGCCCAAGTGAACCCGGGGATAGACAGGGCCAGGCGATTCGGGGACGAAACACAAGGACCCTATCGACACACAATTGAAGGAAAGTGAGGAGAGCCTAGCAATACTGGGTGTACGATGTACGAGAGGCTAGCAAGTAAGGGCCGTGACTATTGACGGAGTACGGCAAGCCCTAACGAACGAACCAGAGACGGATTTCGAGGGCCCAGCAATCCAAAGTCGGTGCACGAGAGCCTAGTGCTCCACAGCCGGTGCACGAGAGCCCAGCAATCCAAAGTGCTGCGGATCTTCACTGCAGCTCAGCAGTCTCGCTACACTGCAGGGTGTCGATCGCGTCGGCCTGCCGGCGGTGGCCTGTCGGCGACGATGGCGCGGCGGTCCGTCGGCGGTGGCGGTGCGCGTCCGTCGGCGGTGGCGGTGCGCGTCATTAGGCAGCGCCGCGCGCCGCGACTCCGGTCATTTGGCAGGTCATGTTTATGAATGACGATAGCCGCTGGAGCAGGGCGAACAGGCTCTCTCAGACGGACCAGAGCCGCCTATCGGCCGGACGGCGCTCGGTACCCTGCAGACCTGCAACCTCGTCTGCATGGCTCCGTTAGGACTGCTGCCGTCCGGACAGCTGTCCCTTCAGGACTGATGTGCTGCACTGCAGCAGCTACCCTGTGATTGCAGCTGCTAACTGAAAACTACTGCTCCGTAAAAGCAACTGTCCAGAGAGAACAGCTGCTCACTGAGAAATTATATTCCGCGCGAGGATAGTCATGATCCAAATAAGGGCTGTGCTCCCCTGAGAGAATTGCTGCCCCGCCCTCTTATGAAAACAGCTGCACTGCGCGAAGACTTCTCCGCTATGTGGAATGTTAGAGTGAGTTTGCGAAATCGGTGGATCCGCGGAGTCCCTAGGGAATCCACGGAGTTCCTAGTGGCTCCGCGGATGAACATCAAGTCTAGTATATTCGCGGATAAACGGGCGGGGATCCGCGGATGAACAAAACTCTTCAGGATAACCGCGAACTCCCTGAAGAGTTGCCGGGATTCGTGAACCACCCGGGGAATCCGCGGAGTAACGATTCATTCTAGTGAGTTTGCGAAGTTCCTATGCGTTTCATGCAGCTATATTATGACAAGATTGTAAGGCATATTGGCTAGATCGTCTGTGACTTAACCCTCGCCCGTACCTATTATTATTGGTGTTTATATGGCCCGTATTGGTGTTTTCCCAGTTGCTGTTGGAATCCGCGGAGTAGGTAACGATTCAGGGGCGGCGGATTCGGGGGGGGGGGGGGGTGGCAGAGGGGGCAGCTGCCCCCCGGGCGAACTCGTGGGGGGGCAAAAGTATCTTTTTGCCCCCCCCCCATAATTTGTGACATAAAACTTTGACAAGAAGCAATATATTAATTTTGTTCGATCATCTGAAGATGTTATCAGATGTCCATATACTCTATCATACGTTGCTTTTCTTAAATGATAAGCGTTTGCGTTCAATAGAAGTTTCCCTCTCCTGAAACTCGTTTTAGGGGCAATATAAGCGTTTACGTGACGCAGCGGCAGCCCAAGCCTTAACCCTCCCCCCAGGGGGTGGGGGGGGGGGGCATATGTTACCACCCTGTCGCGTTTTTTGCGTGTGAATAAAAAACCGCGGCGCTATGCGCCGCGCCGCTTGGAGTAGCTTTTTGTACAACAAATTTGGACAATGTGGGAAATTTTTTACCCCAGGTCATGTCAGGTCAGGTCACCAGGTCAAGTTAACTGTTAACTGATCAAGCCTAAAATAGTTTGCAATCATGTCCGGCCTGCAGTGTTTGTTAGAGAGGTTTTAAACTTGGTGGATTGCATGACATTATGGGCGCCTGCAATTTGCATATCTCGGATTTTTTATATCCGTGACCTAAGGTCAGGTCAGTGGCGTGACCTTTCCATTGTTAATGGAGAAAAACGAAAATGCCTCTAGATCCGTATGTACGCATAGGAACAGTCCAATTATTTCAGAATCACAATGATTTGGACCACCCGTGACGACCAAGGTGTCTTTTTTGATGATAGCCTCTAGAAAGGTCATCCGAGGTCATTTGAGGCTACAAACAGATTTTTGCCAATAACTCTCGATTGGAAGGAGATAGAACGCTGGGAATGGCCTCATTTTGTTTGTCTTGCCGAGACGCATCGACTGATATGCAACATGACCTTTTCCGGTCAGGTCATGACCTTGACCTGAGGTCAAATTTTCAAGTTGACCTTTCAAGGTCAAATTATAGTTCATTCGACGCGTCTCGGCGAGAGGAACACGATTCTGCCAATAGAAATTACGTCGCTTTTTTAGTCAAAAGTAATTGTCGAAAAACACTTTTCGTAAAAACAGCTATTTTGAAGTTTTTGCCCTCTGGAGGCTAAACCGTTGACCTGGGGCCATTTTTGATAATGACCTTATCAAAAGAAGAGTTCGAAAGCTATCGATTGCATTTCCAAGCGTTTTTCTAGCTATATCATAGTTCCTGAGATAATGTAGGGCATAATAATAATAAAGGGCATCTGATAACATCTTCAGATGATCGAAAAAAATTAATTTATGGCTTCTTGTCAAAGTTTTATGTCACAAATTACAGGGGAAAAAGATACTTTTGCCCCCCACGAGTTTGCCAGGGGGCAGCTGCCCCCTCTGCCACCCCCCCCCCCCGAATCCGCCGCCCGTGGAATCGTTACCTACTCCGCGGATTCCAACAGCAACAACACCAATAGGTACGGGCGAGGGTTAAGTCACAGACGATCTAGCCAATATGCCTTGCAATCTTGTCATAATATAGCTGCATGAAACGCATAGGCGAACAACTTCGCAAACTCACTAGAATGAATCGTTACTCTGCGGATTCCCCGGGTGGTTCGCGGATCTCGTCAACTCTTCAGGGAGTTCGCGGTTATCCTGAAGAGTCTTGTTCATCCGCGGATCCCCGCCCGTTTATCCGCGAATATACTAGACTTGATGTTCGTCCGCGGAGCCACTAGGGACTTCGCGGATTCCCTAGGAAATCCGCGGATCCACAGATTTCGCAAACTCACTCTAACACTGATAAGCTGTCCATATGGGACCACGCCACCCACGTCCCAGCAGCCTCCAAGGAGTACCTACCCTACAAAAG